ACTTGAAGATGGGTGGGCTTCAACTCCCAGAATCCCCCCAGCCCACCCATCTTCAAGTGGCCAAGGTGGAGAAACCCAGCCTTAAGCTATGCCAGGAAACAGGTTCCACAAAAATTATGTTATTGTTGTGGAGTATAATCATCTTGAAACCCGGATGGTGTTTCCCCTCCTTTCCCTCTTATGCCCAAGAGAATCAAGGCTGGATTATCCCGAGTTCCTCCCTCCCTCCCTCCTCGCTGGGCCAAGCTGGCATTCACCTAACAGCCGCCGAATGCCTCCTTCAGGACCATCTCCGTGGCATGAAATCTCCACGCAGCCACAGAGAAGTTCCAGAAATTCCAGTACCAATGCAGGGTTTTGTTCTGTTTTTCGTGGGTTTGCAGATCCTCAGCCGCTCTCCTTCTCGCTCTTCAGCTGGGCATTTTTTGAGGGTGCCGATGCTGAAAAGGAAACGCCTCCTTCGGGGTGGCTTTTCTGCACCTTCTTTTGATCTCCCAGTCTGGGGAGGTCAAACTTCTCCCACGCGGGGGGCCTCGGGGCCTCTCCCCGAAGTACAGACCCCAGGATTCCATGGGGGCTTAAATAGATTTATAAAATCAAACACTGCTTGTCCGGCAAAGCGTTAAGAGCCACAGCCTGGCTCAGTTGTTTCAAGCTGTGAGTTACCTTGAGTGCCAAGTGCCTAATCTTTTTCTCTCTCTCTCTCTGGTCCCCCTGCCCCCCCCAGCATTGCCATGGCCACAAAAGAAAATATGACTTCGCAGCGAGGGATGATGAAGTCCATACAGAGTAAGATGAACACCTTGGCCAGTATCCTTTCTGTTACTGCTGTTTTACTTCCAGGGCCCTGGAATCACAAAGTCAGAAATTGCCTTTGAGGTCGTCCAGTCTAACCCAGTAAGACCCCTGGCTTAAGGGGTAGAGCTGTTCCCTTTGGGGGCAGGGCTTCCTTCCATGCCTTTCCCGTTTTTGACAATTGCTGCACTTTCTCTCCCCCCACCAAAAAAAACACGTGGGCAGATGCTCTGCAAATGTGCTCAAATTTCCCCGAAACCAGGATGTTCCTCGGTGCCAAAACAGGGATCGAAATGGATTAGATCCCAGAGGGCCGATGCAACCCATCATGGAGAAAGTCTGACTATTCCAGTTCTGCCTAAACGCCAGTCCTGTACTTTCTCTCCCTGCTTCCTTTTCCTGACAAAGGCTAACAAGCCAGCCAAAGGGATATTTTTTTAAGTGCTGTCGCTACAAAAGGTAAGATGACGGCGCCCTGTCTGACAGGCCCGGCCCCCAAAAGTAGAAGTCAGATAGAGAAAGCTAGGAGTGGGGTGCACGCCGCAGCGTGTCTCCCCAGAAAGGAGAAGAACCCCACAAGCAGGTGGGGGGGCAACAAACACCCTTCCTTGCTGTCCTTAACTCGCGGCTCCCTCCCAAGACCGCTTTCCAGCCGTGAACAGCCTGATCCAGAGGATCAACCTGCGCAAGCGCCGGGACACGCTCATCCTGGGGGGCGTCATCAGCATCTGCACGATCCTCCTGCTCCTCTATGCTTTCCATTGACGGAGGACGCTGCGTACAGAGACTTCTGGGACCATGTTCCACCGCCTGAGAAGGGACAGGCAGACTGCTGCGGGACCCCCATCTGGGGACGTGGAGGCCAAGGTGACCCAGGCCGGTGGGCTCTCCTTTTCCTCCCTCCAAGGCTGGCCACGAGTTCTGAAGGGGGCCGCCCTTCTTGTCCCTCATCCAGTTCTCCCACTTTGGGGATCTGTTCCCCCATCTAATGTGTTTTGCCCCTTTTGTACCATTTTTCTCTCGGCCAAAGGTGAGTCCAACGCGGCAGCCGCTCCAAAACATGTTCCAGTTCACCCGTAACATTTATTTTCCCAAGGAGAATGTTCATGCCTTTCTTCAAACCCGTCTCCCAAAGCAAGACCCTCCCTGATACTTAAATCGAACGCAGCTTGGCCAATACTTTGCTACTTAAACTTCGGCCTGGCCCAGTCGGAGATCCGAAAACGATGGAGAGGAACTCTGACCAGATTTACAGAAGAAGAACCTCAAGGGTTGGGTTGGTAAGTCTCCAAACCCCTTCTGGAGAAGAAGAAGACCAGGCCTTCTTGTCTCCTTCCCACGGCACTGAGAGTGACCAAACCATACCAATTCAGAGAAAGCTGGGAAAGTCTGTGGACAGGGAACGACCTCTGATCTCTTGATGTGGAGGACGTTCATGAGCCAGACACTCCATGTAGACATTTTGACCAAGCAGGAGGCCAATGTTGCGCAGGTCCCACAAGGGTGCGCGTTCCTCGTCGTGATAGGGCACCGAAGGGCGATGGGTGGGCAAGGGCTGGAGCATCTTTGGCATACATACCTGTTAACGGTTTTATCAGATGTATTCTTCATCAAAACAGTTTTCCACCAAATACCGGCCTGTCCTCAGCTTCTGTTTGTCCAACTTTGGTTTGGTTCCCATCCTAACAGACACTGGACATCCCCCACCCACCCGCGCTTTGAAACAAAAATAAAATTAAAAAAAAAGACGTCTCTTGCATAATTCTGTTGGATCTTCTGATTCAGAAATAGAGGTTTTTGTCTTTTTTATATGTGGCCCAAGCCAACCCAAACTTCACCTCTCCCTCCATTGTTGTACGCAGACTACAACTTCCACATATCAGTCGGCTTACCCGGTGAGGATCGTGGGATTTGAAGTCCAATATATTTAGAGGACTCAAGGAAGGGAAGAGATGATCTGGAGAGCATTGGCTGCGGGGAATCCTGGCCCTCACCTCCATTCATACACTGTGAAACTAAACGTTAACACAATGTTTTTGTTCAAGTAGATTCCAGAGACGGCCACTATAGCATGAAGGTCTGTGTGGCACCAAGTTCTTAAATTGATAAACTATTAATTCTCTTTAGGTTTGGAAGACTGTTTGTTTAATCCTGTTAGTGCTATGAATAAAAGAAAACAGGTAGTTTTTGGCTATAAGAGATTGCTTGATGTTAGAAGATGCTCCTGTTTCAAATAAACTGTTTATTGGCCCTTTCAGAAGAGCCAAGACAAAGATTCAAAGACGAAGTGAGTTCATTATCAGAGCTCTGTGTGAAGGAACTGCTGCTGGAGTTTTCATTTTATTCTGTTTCGTTTTGGGTTTTTTCCTTTCCACCTCAGATAGGTGGTGCAACTCTGCTGAGATAGGAAAGGTTTGGTTGCATTATCTAGCTAACAAAAATGAAAAAAAAATTAAACACTATCTCTGAATAAAACATATTTGTTTAATCTTAGGATTCTTGCTTCTTCATTCGTTTCTCTCCCTGGGTTTCAGTGGCAGATGCAGAACTAATTTGGGAGACCTAAGAAATCAAGTGTGCAGTGCACGATCTGGGGCTGAGTTTGCCTGGCACGTGGAGCTGAAATACGATGGACCGGTTGGGGTCTACAACAGCATTGTCGGGATCTGCGCGAGCTACCAAGTAAAAGCTCTTAGAAAGTATGCTGA